GCCTTGGCGCAGTGGTGATCAGGGCGCGTTGTCCCCCCAGTGAGGAGATCCTCGATTACGTGCTGGTCCGAGTTCAGCCCCCGATGCCCGGCCTGCCCCGGCCCCGCTTCTCCCTCTATCTGTCAGCCCAGCTGCAGATCGGCGTGATCCGTGTCTACTCTCAACAATGCCAGTACCTCGTAGGTAAGGCGGGGAAGGCTCGGAGATGGGGCAGAGCCGCGTGGCCCGTGGCGAGGGGAGGCATGCTCAGGACCTTGCCCTCCCTGCCCGCCCTGCCCGCAGAGGACATCCAGCACATCCTGGAGCGCCTGCACCGCGCCCAGCTGCAGATCCGCATTGATATGGTGGAGACTGAAGTGTGAGTGCCCACCCTGGGCCTGGGCCACTCAGCCTTCGGTGGGCATCCTCCCTGCTTGGCGTCAGCCCTCTGCCTCAGTGCTTGACAGCCCACATTCTCTGTCTCAGACCCAGCCTGCTGCTTCCTAACCGCCTGGCCATGATGGAGACCCTGGAAGATGCTCCAGACCCCTTTTTTGGGATGATGTCTGTGGATCCCGTACTTCCCAGCCCCCTCAATATCCCTCAGGTAGGGCTCATTCCCCACAGAAGCCTCCGGCTGATGAGCTGAGAGCGCAGGAGGGGAGCGCTGTGTCTGTGCGGGTCTGACACTGGGGCTAGGGAAGGCGGCCAGCCACAGCTCTCCCCTGCAGGAGTCCGTGCTGGGGGACTGTCATGGTGGACCCCTCCAGACAGAGCCATTCCACTTGTCTGTTCAAGGCCAACCTCGAGGCAGCTCTTGTCCCAACTTCTCTCCACACAGTTCTCACTGCCAAGGCCCTAAGCCAGGCCCTTGTCATCCCTTAGCCTTAGGTTTCCCTGCGCATGTCCTCCTTTATCCACGTCCTGACACGTCCACAGCTTTAGACAGTGCTGCTGCTTCTTTCAAAGACACCCCCGGTCCCCCACTGCACACAGCCCTCCATGCCCGTAATGGCTACCCTCGTTCTGTACTAGTTAAGTCCTACATACCCTTAGCAGACCTGGCTCAAATGTTACCCCTTTCTGAGAGGCTTTATCCTGGGCCAGAAGCAAATGTTGCTTTGGAACTGAGCACGTTGCTAGGGCCTTGTTTCACCCTTTGTGTTGCCTCTTGCTGGGGTCCTAGTCACACTGGTCTTCCTGTTAGACCATAGGCTCCCTAAGATCAAGAATCTTTTCTGTCCCCCCCAACACTTGACATAAGGGTGCAGTGCTTCCTGCACAGAAAAATGGACAAGGTCTAGATAACGGGGGCAGGGATGGGAGGAAAGGAGAGCAGATGGCAAGTGAGTTCACCGCACGCTGGTGTCACAAGGCCGCAGCGTGAAGGACTATTTTCGTCTGTTGTCTGAATAAGGTTGTGGAAGCGGGAAAACGGGCGGAGGATGAACCCTTCCTTTTGTCCCCAATCCCCAAAGATTCGACAGCTCCTAGAGGCTGCAAGCCCAGAGAGAGTTCTTGAGGAGGCCCCTCCTGAAGTCCCCATGGAGCCTAGGAAGCCTGGTGAGCAGACAGCCTCTTTCCTGGAAGAGGCCTAGGAAGGCCCAAGAACTGAAGGAATGACCATCTTTGAGCTTCTCTTAAGAGCCAGGCCCTGTGAGGGGCACTCTATTTGTGTCACCTCCTCCCTGCCTCACAAGAGTCCTCTGAGATCAGAATTCTTATCCCCATTCTCCAGAGGAGGAAAGTGAGGCCCGTAGTGGTTAAGCAACCTAGCCAGGTCAGTTTGCCCGTGACTGGCCAGGGCCTGACCAGAAGCAGGTTGACTTGATTCCAGAGTCCGTGCTTTCGCCTCACCACGTGGGTGTGGGAAGCTGGAAAGCAGCAGAGGGGCTCATGTGACTCTCCTGCCCCTCCAGAGAGGATCCCGGTCACGGTGCTGCCTCCAGAGGCCATCACCCTCAAGGAGGCGGAGCCCATCCGCATACTGCCAATCGAGGTGAGCTGTGCCCTCGCAGGAAAGCCTGAGGCCCGAGTCCTGCCTCTGGCGGCCCAGCCCAACTCACGTGCCCCCCCACCCCCGCCCGTCTGCCCCCAGAGTCCTGCCTTCTCGTCTCATTGCAGCGCTCCCTGCGCCTGGCGCCTGAGCGCCCCGTGGGCCTCCTAGAGCCCCTTGCCTTTTTCAGAACTGGAATTCCGTCCCCTCTCCTTACTCCTCCTCTCTTGCCAGGGTGAACTGGAGCTCCCAGAGGTCAGCCGCCGAGAGCTGGAGCTGCTGATTGCTGAGGAAGAAGAAGCTATCCTGTTAGAGGAACGGCCAGGCAGGCCTCTGCCGGCAGTGGAGGGTCAGCGCGCTGGCACGGGCAGGCTGGGCCTGGGCAGTGCCCCCGTCTCCTCTGTCCTGCGCTCTGAGCCCCGATCTTCTCTCTGCAGAGTTCAAGGAGGAGCCCCGGGCTCTGGAGGAGGAGAGAGGTGTACCCCCGCTCTCACCACCAGCTCTCGCACCGTAAGGGCAGGACCCCCTGGGCCAGGTAGGCAGCCAGTGCTGCGAGGGGTGGCCTCATTTCTCTTGCCCGTTTTCCCCTCAGGGTGGAACTGCCCGCAGAGCCACTTCCGGTCCCGGCCCCCGAGGAGGTGAAGCCAGTAGGCTGGGAGCCCGAGGCCCTGGTTACTGGTGAGCACCCATCGTGCCTGGGCCCTTCCTGGGGGTCCTTGCACAGCTACTGCAGTCAAGGGCCCCGTATTCCAACTTGCTGCAGGGAGGCCTTCTAGCTTCTTGCGTGGGTGGCTGCCAGGGCGAAGGGGGGGTGGCAGAGCCGGGACCTAGAGTGTTGTTGCAGAGGTGACCCCCCCGCCGGAGCTGCGCCTGCCAGCCCCGCCCAGCCCAGAGGTGAGTCGTGTCCCTGCCAAGCTTTCTCCTCCCCTTTGCCCTCCTCTCCCAGAGCTGCTCATCCGTCTTCAGTTTCCCCCAGCCCTGGGCCACTGCTAGCCTTCCCCGGGCCTTGGCACAAGTTGGTAAAAGGTGGCCTTGCCCACCCTCCATTTTATCCAGCCTGCACTCCCCGGATGGGCCCCCCCACCACCACGTGAGGTCAGAGCTGCACCTGGAGGCCCTGCCCAAGCTCTTTCCTGGGGTGCCTCTGGAGTGGGGACGTGGGGCCTGTTTTGCAGCCCACCAAGGTGACAGGAAAAGGAGTAATGTGTAGCCTTGCCCCCACGTCCCCTCCCCAATCAGAGGCTGCGGCCCCCAGTGCCCCCCTATCCCCGGGGTCCACCTGCTCGCCGCCGCCGCCGCCAGTTACTGTTCTGGGACAAGGAGACTCAGATCTCCCGGGAGAAATTCCAGGAACAACTGCAAACCAGAGCCCACTGCTGGGAGTGTGTGAGTGCAGCCCCAGGCTCTGCGGGCCACAGAGGGAGGCAGGGAGGGCCTGAGGCCACACGTGCTGGGCCGTCTAAACTCTGGGGAGGCACCGGGAACGATCCCCAAAGTGCACGTGCTCCAGGTTTGCACAGAGACAACTCTCCACTTTCCTTTAGTGACCCCACATAGCACATGGCTGGGCACCCCCTGGCAGTGGGCGGGGCCAGGCAGGGGCGGGAGCCTGAGAGTTGGGGCGGTCGGAGGCCTTGGAACAAAGCATTGCAAATAAGTAGAGAAGGAGCAGGGAGGAGTGCCTCCCTCCTAACTGGGCTTCTGCCCCCCCCCCCCCGCAGCCAAAGGTGCAGCCTCCCGAGAGGACCACCAGGAGCCCCACGGAGCTATTCCGAACCCCAACTCAACGTAAGGAGTGGTGGGAGTTGGCATGTGGGGTCTTCTGAACCCATAGTCCTCCGTCTTGGTGTTCCTCACACGTCCAACCCCACCCCTGCCGCCCCTCCCTCCCCAGCTGGCTGGCTCCCCCCAGAACTGCTGGCCCTGTGGACCCACTGTGCCCAGCCACCCCCAGAAGCACTCAGGCGAAGGCCACCCCCGGAGCCTGAGAGGGAGGTGGCAGCTGAGGAAAGGATGGAAACTCTCAGCGATATCGAGGTAACTGCACCCCCTTCCTCCTCCCTCGGGGGCCGGCGCGCTTTGCCTGAGCTCCGGCAGGCTGCCTGCTGCCCACCTGGGCCTGTGCTGCCACGTCCCGTCCCCGAGCGTGGGCCGGGGCAGCCCGGGACCGCGTCACCCCGCCCCGGGTGCTTCTGTGGCGCTCAGGGCCTTAGTTCTCACTCTCCCTTCCCCAGGTCCTGAGAGAGGCCCGGGAGCCCAGCGGGCCCCTAGTGCTGTCTTTAGGTAGGCCCCTGGAGAAGGGAGAGGGCCCCCACCGCCCCAGGGCCCGGCTACCCTAACTGCTGCCCGTGTTTACTAGAGGAAGCAGTTCACATAAGGAAGCCCAGACCCCTTCGGTTCTCCTCCCGGGGTCCCTCTTAAAAGTCACTGCACAGCGGCGGCATCTAGTTTGACCGGTCGGGGGGGGGGGGCGGGGACCCAAGGTCCCGACCGCTCCGATCTAAGTGGGCGCACTCGGGCCCTTCGCCTCCCCCCAACAGAGCTCTCTCTTGAGGCGGCCGAGGAAGAGAAGACCCGCATCAGCCTCCTCCCGCCAGAAGAACGGTGGTAAGCCGCCAGCCCGGGTGCACTTGGGCCGTGGCCCCCGTCGGTGTCGCAGCCGCCCCCTTCCCTGCTCGCCCTGACTCCTGCGTCCTCCTAGGGCCTGGGCTGAGGCTGAGCAGCCGGAGCTCCCTGCGCTGCCTGCGGTGCCCGAGGTCCCGGAGCTGCCCCCGGGGCTGCCCCCGGAGCTCGAGCTGCTGTCGCCGGAGGCCGTGTACAGGTGCCGGGGGAAGGCCGCCGCGGTGGGGTGGGCGCAGGCTGGGGCTCCGGCTGACCGCGCGCGACCCCCACAGGGCAGTGGCCCAGGAGCTGCAGGCCAACAGGGAGGCCGACTTCGGCAGCCTGGTGTCCCCCGTCAGCCCTCGCCGGATGGCCGCCCGGGTCTTCTACCTGCTCCTGGGTGAGTGTGGGCACGGGTGGGCACGGGTGGGCACGGGTGGGGGGCGAGGCCCCAGGCCGGAGGCCACCACAGGGCCTCCCCCCGACTGGCCCCGTCCTCTTCTCTTGACCAGTGCTTGCAGCGCAACAGATCCTCCGCCTGGAACAAGAGAAGCCGTACGGGCGCATCCTGATCCTGCAGGGGCCCCGATTCCACCGCGGTTAGCCCTCACAGAGCGGCCCGGGAGCTGGCTCCATTAAACCCCGTCTTGCCTGCCTCGATTCCGAACATGTATCTCTATGCTTCTGGCTCTCAGAGCTACCGTTCAAGCAGAGACTGAACCGCCTTTATTAGGGTAGGATGTCAAGACTTCATTTGCGCTGTCCCACAGTGTAACAGATCCAGCCCCAGAGACCCCCGTAAGGCAGCAAGCGGGACTGAGACTCCAAGTGGGTATGAGGCCCAGAATCTTTGGTAAGGTGCAAGCTGAAACTGGGGTGAGAGGCGCTCTTGGGGCCTGGGCAGGCTCTGCTCTCTCTGGCCCGGCTGCAGCCGCCAGTCTAGGTGAGGCCCAGGGCGGCCTGGAGTTCCTGAGCTTTGTCACCAGGCAGTGAGCCCAGGGCCGAGTGGAAGCTGTCGGTGTGCTGTCTGGCCAGGAACGTCAGGAGCTGCAGCAGTGTGGCCTCGGTGTCTGGGTGGAGAGCGGAGAAGGAGAGATCGGGGAGGACTGACCCCCAAAATCCCTAGCTAGCTGCCCCCACCTGCCCCTGGCCCTGCCCACGACCGCCACCCTCACCTGGTGGGATCTTGTTCTCGGCCAGAATGAGGCTGCAGATGCGCAGGAGCTCAGGAGCCACGTCTACAACCTGCGGGGGGAGAAACGGCTGACTCAGGCCTGCCAGCACCCCGGGGCCCCAGGATTAAGAACAGGCAGGGTCTCCCACCGGGGACATTTTACGCGTGATACTGTTTCACATCCAAGACCGCTAGGAGACCCAAGAAGGACCCATGAAACATGGTGGGAATCATTTTTTTTTGAAGGAGACAGAACTTAAAACCAAAAGAAGCCCAGACACTCGGGAGGTCCACCGACACAACGGTCTGTAAAGGTGCGGGACAGAGGCGGACGACACGGGAGCGTGGGTACCCGGGTCCAAACCTAGCCAGTTGGCGCAGACAAGTCTCATTCAGAAAGCAGAGCTGCTCTGAGTGGAAGAGAAGTCGGGGCGGGGGGGGGCCGTGGAACACAGTGTGAAGGAGCCCGGCTGTAGGAAGTCAGCCCAGGGAAGCTCTGGCTTCTGGCCCACACCAGAGGGTGCACGTGGCCAGGGAGGACGGGGCTCCCTAGGGGAAAAAACGCTTCATGGTGAGAGGGGCCCGCCCTCTGCCGTGACAGGCCCGGCCGCCGAGCCTCGCAGACCAATGACACACGAGTGTCCGCGGGCAGTTTCAGCTGTGACTCTGCGTCAGTTATGAGGGGGGCCAAGCTTGCCTCTGAGCGGAGCGTCAAGCTCCCCTCCGAGTTACCTGGTCAGGGCTGCTCTGGTACAGGAAGCTGAAGAGGTGCCCTATGGTGACCCACTCCTCCAAGTCCTCCTTCAGCGGCAGGGCATGCAGGAGGGCGGCCAGCACCTGGACGCAGAGACGCCTCAGGCTCCTTGTTCTGTCCCCTTGCCCGCACCCCCCCCTCCGGCAGGCAGCTTCTAGACCCTGCCCCCTGCCTCACCTGGGGCTCCGGTTTCCTCGTGGGACTGGCCATCAGCAGGCGGGCCAACGCCCCACAGATGTTGTCACGGACACGACCGTGGTGCTCCCGTGCCAGGAGGGGCAACAGAAGCCCCAGCAGCTTGGGGAAGTATCTGGTTCCACAGTCAAGGAACAGGCCCACGGACAGCCACCTCCCATCCTCGAGCCCCAGGGATACTCTGCCCCCGCCCCCGGCCCCCAGCCACCCGCTGCGGATACTCCTGAGCAGGGCGGCCCCCATGCTCGGCCAGCACGCCCAGCCCAAAGACGGCATTGCTCCGCACCTCGGGGTCGGCCTCCCGGGCGGCGCTCACCAGCACGGGGAGCAGCCGAGACACGAACTGCGCTGAGGCACCACGCAGGCCCTGAATGCACTCTGCCAGCGTCCCCACGGCAAAGGACTTCTCGGCCACTGTGCAGCCCTGTTTCTGGTGGGGGGAGGACCGCAGGTCCAGCTGGGGCTGGGAACGCGGCGGCGGGGGCGCGCACAGGGCGCATGGGCAGGACGGGGCTCGAGGCCAGGGCGCGGGGCACTCACCGTCTTGCACAGCAGCAGTGGCAAGAAGCTGGCAAAGAAGGGGGCAAAGGCGTCTCCCCCCGCCGCGGCGGCCAGGGCAGGGATGGCGTCCCCGGCGTGCTCTAGCAACATGGCGTCATATTCGGCCTGCGGGGCCGGGTCAGGGGCTAGAGCACCGCGGCTAGCCCTGCCACTGCCACGGGGGTCCCCAGGGCTCGTCCTGGGCTGACCGGGCTGCCCCTTCCAGGCTGGGCTCGTGTGAGGCCCAGCTTTTTCTCCCGGTGCGCCTACTCTCCGCTCTGGATCCCAGCCCCCGGGACCCCCACCCGCAGAATGCCTTTCCTGAACTCCCGCTGCCTTCGTGGGAGCAGGGACGCACCATTCTGAGCCATCACCAACCTTCTAGCAGCCCTGGCAC